CCAGACGTGCAGGCTCAGCGGCCATGGCTCACGGACCCTGCCGCTCCTCGACATGTGGGATCTTCCCAGACCGGGGCACAAATGCGTGTCCCCTGCCTCGGCAGGCGGACTCTCAACCACTGTGCCTCCAGGGAATCCCAAGTTCATTCTTTTGAGTGGTTTAAGATAGGGGTCCAGATTTACTTTTTGCTTGTGTTTATCCAGGTTTTCCAGCACCATTTATTGAAGACACTATTATTTCCCCATGGTTGTTCTTGGCTACCTTGTCAAAAGTTAGTTAACCTTCTATGTGGGGGTTTAATTCTGGGCTCTTTATCCTGTCCCTCTGGTCTGGGTGTCTATTTTGATGCTAGCACCATACTGTTTTAAATAGTATAGATTGTAGTAGAGTTTGAAATTAGGAAGTGTGATGATTCTGGTTTTCTTCTTCTTTCTCAGAATTGTTTTGGCTATTCAGTTCTTTTCTGGTTTGATAGAAAGGTTAGAATTGATTTTTCTATTTCTGTAGAGAATGTCATTGGATTTTTGAGAGAGGTTTCTTTGAATCTGCAGATGGTGTTGAATTAAGGACTTCTAAATCTTAGAAATTCCTCCAACCTATGAGCATAGGATATCTTCCCATTTGTTAGTGTCTTCAATTTATTTTATCAATGCCTTGTTAAATTCAATCTAGAGACATTTCACCAACTTTGTTAAATTTATTCCTAAGTTTTTTTTTTTGATGGTATTGTAAATTAGAAAGTCTTCTTTATTTTTTCAGAGAGATGTTTCACTGTTTGTGTATAGAAATACAACTGATTATGTATGTTGATTTTATACAGTGCAATTTTACATACTTTGTTGATTAGTTACAACTTTTTGGTTGCTTCATTAGGATTTTTTTTTTTTTTTTTTTTTTTTTGCCCGCGCCGTGTGGCATGTGGGATGTGGGATCTTAGTTCCCTGACCAGGGATCAAACCCGTGTCCCCTGCATTGGGAGCGCGGAGTCTTATCCGCTGGACCACCAGGGAAGTCCCCATTAGGATTTTTTATATAGAAAATTATGTCTTCAAATAATGACAATTTTAGTTCTTACTTTCTTAATTGGATGCCTTTCTTTGTCTTGCCTAATTGCTTCAGCTAATACCAATACTTGCAGTACTATATGTACTGTCCATAGTAGTCTCTTATGATCCTATGTATTTCTGTAGTATCAGTGGTAATGTCTCCTCTTTCATTTCTAATTTTATTTGTCTTCTCTCTTTTTTCCTAGTCTAGCTAAAAGTCTGTGAATTATATATTTTTGAAAATCCAGCTTTTCGCTTGTTGATCCTTTCCGCTGATTTTCTTTTATCTATTTTATTTATTTCCACTCTAGTCTTTTTTTTTTTTTTTTAAGATGTTGGGGGTAAGAGTTTATTAATTTTATTTTTGCTGTGTTGGGTCTTCGTTTCTATGCGAGAGCTTTCTCTAAGTTGCGGCAAGCGGGGTCACTCTTCATTGCGGTGCGCGGGCCTCTCACTATCACGGCCTCTCTTGTTGCGGAGCACATGCTCCAGATGCGCAGGCTCAGTAGTTGTGGCTCACGGGCCTAGTTGCTCTGTGGCATGTGGGATCCTCCCAGACCAGGGCTCGAACCCGTGTCCCCTGTATTAGCAGGCAGATTCTCAACCACTGCGCCACCAGGGAAGCCCCTCCACGCTAGTCTTTATTATATTCTTCCCTCTGCTAACTTTAGGAAAAATTTCTTATTTTTCTAGTTCCTTGATATGTAGAGATAGATTACTTAGGCACTTTCTAATTTCTTGCCATTTGCACTTACCACTATACACTTTCCTTTCTGGAATGCTTTTGCAGCATCTCATAGGATTTGGTAAGTTGTGTCTCCATTATCATTTGCTTTAAAGTTTTTAAAAATTTTTCCTTTTGATTTCTTTTTTGACTCATAGACTTTTTTGGAAGTGCACTGTGTAGTTTTCCCTTCTTTGTAGATTTTCCAGATATCCTCTTGTTGCTTTCTAGTTTTATATCATTGTGTTCAGATAGCTGGTACGATTCTGATCTTCTTAAATTTGCTAAGACATCGTTTTTCATATAATCTATCCTGGAGTATGTTCCATGTGCACTTGAGAACAAGTTGCTGGATGGAATGTTCTATATATGCCTGTTCAGTCCATTTGGTATAATGTATAGACCAGTGTATATACACTGGTCTATATACATAAATCATTGCTCATCCAGTATATGGATGATCTATCCACTGCTGAGAGTGGAGTATTGAAGTTCCCTACTATTATTGTATTGTCTGTTTCTCCCTTCAGATCTGTTAGCATTTGCTTAATATATTTAGGTGCTCTGATGTTAGGTGTGTATCTATTTACAATTGTTACATATTCTTGATAGGTTGACCTTTGTATCATTATATTGAATATAATGACTTTGTGTCTTGATATTGTTCTTGTTAAAGTCTGTTTTGTCTGATATAAGTATGGCTTTCCCCACATTATTTGGCTTCTACTTGCATGGAATATAATATTCCATCTCTTTATTTTGAGTATATGTGTGTCTTAAAACTGAAATGAGTGTCTTATATGCAGAATTTAATTGTACCTTATATATTTTTTATACATCCAGCCATTCTATGGCTTTGTGAATTAAGTCCACTTACATTTAGAGTGAATTTTGATACGTAAGGACTTATTACTGCCATATTATTAATTGCTTTCTGAATGTTTTATATCGGTGTTCCCCATCCTTTTTTGTACCAGGGACCAGTTTCATGGAAGATAATTTTTCCACAGAGTGGGAGGTGGGGATGGTTTCGGGATAATTCAAGGGCATTACATTTATAGTCCACTTCATTTCTATTATTATTACATTGTAATATATAATGAAATAATTATACAACTCACCATAATGCAGCATCAGTGGGAGCCCTGAGCTTGCTTTCACTTGCCACTCACTGATAGGGTTTTTGTTTTTTTTTTTTTTGCGGTATGCGGGCCTCTCACTGTTGTGGCCTCTCCCATTGCGGAGCACAGGCTCTGGACGTGCAGGCTCAGCGGCCATGGCTCACGGGCCCAGCTGCTTCACAGCATGTGGGATCTTCCTGGACTGGGGCACGAACCCATATCCCTTGCATCAGCAGGTGGAGTCTCAACCACTGCGCCACCAGGGAAGCCCGTGATAGGGTTTTGATATGAGTCTGCAAGCAAGTGATTTGTTATGATCTCTGTGCAGTCCAACCTCTCTGCTAATGATAATCTGTATTTGCAGCCACTCCCCAGCACTAGCATCACCGCTTCAGCTCCACCTCAGATCATCAGGCATTAGATTCTCATAAGAAGCATGCAGCCTAGATCCCTCACGTGCCCAGTTCACAGTAGGGTTCGCGCTCCTATGGAATCTAATGCTGCTGATAATCTGAAAGGAGGCAGAGCTCAGGTGGTAATGCAAGTGATGGGGGAGCTGCTGTAAATACAGATGAAACTTCTCTTGCTTGCCCACCACTCATCTCCTGCTGTGCGGCCCAGTTCCTAATAGGCCACGGACCAGTACCAGTCCATGGTCTGGGGGTTAGGGACCCCTGTTTTATATTTCCACTGTTTCTTTTTTCCCTCTGGTTCTGTCTACCTTTATAATGGGTGGTTTACCATGTTGGTATGCTCTTTTTTAGTGTTTGTGATTCTACTAAAAATATTTGCTTTGGGGTTACCATGAGGTATACATAAAATAACTCATAGTTAAAACAGTCCATCTTATGTTGATAGAAACTTATCTTTGTAGGCCTGTAAATGTTCCATTTTTAATTCTTTTATATTTTTAATGTCACAATACACTTCACTTTATTCTGCATATTTTTAAAAAGCTATTGTAGCTATAGACTTTTCTATTGCATTTTTCATTTCATCCCCACCATGTTTTGGGTTCCTTTTATTTTTTTACAGTTTTTGTCTATTTTTGTTTTCTTCATGTTTTTTCTGATTTCACTGAATTGTCTTTCAGTCTTTCCTTGTAGCTCACTGAGGTTTCTTATAACAGTGTTTGTTTTTGAATTATTTATTAGGTAGATTGCAGATTTCAAAGTCTTTGGGATTAATACCTGGAAGACTTTGTAATCCTTTAGTTGTGTTAGGTTACTTTGATTTAGAAAAAAAAATGTTCCTGGCGTTTTGTGCTTCTGTCTTCACTTTTGAAGTAGCAGCCACCTACTCCAGTGTTTGCTAATTGTCTTCAGGAGAAAAACACCTTCTGTTGGCCCTCTAGACTTAGAGATTCAGAGGCTTTCTCAGACCTTCTATGAATAAAAGTGTTTCATGCTTTTTATTTCATCTTTTGGCAGAATTCTTGAGCTTATATGCTCTATTTTTATCTAGCAACACAATAGGCTGGGGGCTGCTAGAGCCCCTTTTCTTCTCCTAAGGGTGGTGCTAATGCAGAAATTTATGGTCTGTCTCTGGCCTGCAGATGTGAGCCAGCTTCCTTTGTGTGTTCTCAAGCTGTCAGCCAAAGCCTTCCCTCACTGCCTTGGTTGTGAGCACCCATGGTAGTAAACTAGCCACAGTGTGGATATTTATTTGTATAATGTGTTCAGAGCACTGAGGCTGCCCACTGGCCAGTTGGGAGGATCCATGGGTGAGGCATCCCTATTCGCTCATGGATGGGCTTCTTGATAGAGTCTGTGGTACAGCAGGTAGAATCTGCACCACATCAATTTCTTCTAAGAATCCTATCTGCTACCTCTTCCCACCCCAGTCATTCATCTCATAATTCAGCACTCTAAATGGGGCAAGAAATCAATGGGCTTTTTGGCAATATCCCACATAGTTGGAGAAGCTACATGTTAATTCACATGCTCTCACTTGCCCCTGCAGGGGAAATCATGGGCCAGAAGAGCCCTCTTGGCCTTTAGTTGTTCAATCTTGGGGGAGGCTTGATGTTCGTGAAACCATTCCTTTTACTTTGATCAATTCATGCAAACTCATAAATATATTTTTTTTTTGCCCCAACATTATGCCAGTACTTCTCTACAAGAAACCTGAATATCCACAAAAGCTCTTTCGTTCTTAAGTGATGGAGCCAGTTAACAGATGACTGAAATGTCCAGAGCTGGGATTGAGGTCTCTATGCCTAATACCCTGTGCACAGGTGGGTGAGACTCCTCCTGTTCCCCTTGACATATTTTGCTGGATCCCACAGCTCCCACAAAGACACTTTGGTCTGTGAATGAAGCCAAGTTGTTATTAAAGGGGGGTATGATGAAACACACCTTATTCAATCATAATGCTGATGTAACTCCTCACAGAAGTATATTCAAGTCAAAGTGAGTAATTCAACCTGAGCTTCTTTTACTTTGCTTTTATCTTTCTTCACTCGTCTTGAAACCTCAACCATGAGGCCACCTGGAGTCTCCCATTCTTCATTTATTAAGGGAAGAAGTCCTAGAGAGAGAAAGAGAGAGAGACAATTCCATGTGATAGATTCTCACATGGAAAAATGATTAGGTCCTTTGTCCCTCCTAATAGAACCCCACTCTCTATAAAAACACCCACAGTTTCTTGACCCAGGTCAGAGTTTCTTCCCATGCTGTAAAAAGACAAGAAGAAATCAGGGAGCTGTTACCCTTTTTCTTCACCTCCAGGAGTTCTCTTTGCTTTACATCATTATTATTTAGAAAACATTTAAAAATTCCCATGTCCAGAACTTAAAAGGATTCAGTAAATTAGTATTTCTGGGCATCATTAGTTTTAAAAGATCATCAGCTTATTCAAAATGCTATCAAATTGAGAATAAGTACACCTGCCCTACTTAGTTAAAAAAAAAGCACGTGTGAGTCACATGAAAATACTGTTAAAATGCACTTTCTGACGAGGAGGCCCGAGTTATGCCTAAAAGACTGAAATCTGAACACAATTCAGGGACAGAGACTACACTATTAAGGTCCTGTTTTACACTCAAGTAAATAAAACTTGGTGACAAGAATAAAAACTTATTATAGATGACTGGAAGTGAGGATATTTGTACAATATAACACATTGGGAGGATCTCATTATCATGAAGAAACTAACCAAATATGATTTCAAGTAATTTTTAATAAAACATGTAAAATGAAGACAATATCCTCCATTTTGGTTATCAGTACAACTTTCTCTCAGAGACAAAAATTCTAGTTTCAGTAAAGGCTTAGCTTAAAAAGTACAGACCAGGCTTCCCTGGTGGCGCAGTGGTTGAGAGTCCGCCTGCTGATGCAGGGGACACGGGTCCCCGGTCCAGGAAGATCCCACGTGCCGCGAAGCAGCTGGGCCTGTGAGCCATGGCCACTGAGGCTGCGTGTCCGGAGCCTGTGCTCCGCAACGGGAGAGGCCACAACAGTGAGAGGCCCGTGTACTGCAAAAAAAAACTGAATCAAGAAGAAACAGACAATTTGAACAGACCTATCAATAGAAGTGAAATAGAATCTGTAAACTAAAAAATTCCCTACCAACAAAAGTCCAGGACCAGATGGCTTCACAGGCAAATTCTACCAAACATACAAAAAAGAACTTATACCAATTGTTTTCAGCCTCTTCCAAAAGGTTGAACAGGAAGGAATACTCCCAAAGACATTCTATGAAGCCACCATCACCCTGATCCCAAAACCAGACAAAGATGCTACCAAAAAAAAATTACAAGCCAATATCTCTGATGAATATAGATGCAAAAACTATCAATAAAATATTAGCAAACTGAATCAAATAACACATAAAAAGTCATATACCATGACCACATTGGATTTATCTAAGGGTTAAAAGGATGATTCAACATACACAAATCAATGTGATACACCATATCAACAACAACAAAAAAAGACAAGATCCACATGATCATCTAAAGAGATGCAGAAAAAGCATTTCCTAAAATTCAACATCCATTCATGATAAAAACCCTTGCAAAAGTGGGCATAAAGGGAACATATCCCAACATAATAAAAGCTATTTATGACAAACCCACAGCCAATATACTACTCAATAGTAAAAAGCAGAAAGCCTTACCACTAAAATCTGGAACATGACAAGGATGCCCAGTCTCACCACTTCTCTTCAGCGTAGTCCCGGTGACAGCAATAAGACAAGAAAAAGAAAAGGTATCCAGATTGGAAGAGAAGAGGTAAAATTTTCATTCTATGCAGATGACATAGTACTATGTACAGAACTCTAAAGAGTCCATAAAAAAACTACTAGAACTGATAAACAGATTCAGGAAGGTAGCAGGATACAAGATTAACATACAGAAATCGGTTTCATTTGTTTATATTTACAATGAAATATTTAAAAAGCAATGTAAACAAACAATTCCTTTTAAAATCACATCAAAAAATAAAATACTTAGGAGTAAACCTCACCAAGTAGGTGAAAGACTTACATGCTGAGAACTACAAAATATTAATAAAGGAAATTGAAGATGATTCAAAGAAAGGGATATTCCATGCTCTTGAAGAATTAATATTGTTAAAATGGCCATAATACCTGAAGCAACCTGCAGCTATAATGTGATCCCCATCAAATTATCCGTGACATTTTTTACAGAACAAGAATAAATAATCCTAAAATTTATACAGAACCATAAAAGACCGAGAGTTGACAAAGCAACCTGAGGAAAAAGAATAAAGCAGGAACCATAAACCCTTCCAGACTTTAGATACTACTACAAAGCTACAGGAATGAAAACAATGTGATATAGGAGTGGAGTCAAGATGGCAGGGTAGGAGGACACAGAGTTCATGTCACACAACAATCAGGGCACCTACCAAGCACTGGTGGGGAACCACAGACACCTAATGGGATGGGAGGAACCCCAGAGTGACCAGGTAGGACATGTGGGGGAAGAGAGGGGAAAGGAGAAGTGGAGGCAGGATGGGACCAGCACTCATGAAGGGAAGCTGGGGGAGGGGAGGGGTACCCATACCTGGAGGGGCCCACCCTCAGTGAGGGGAGCAACGGGGACAGGGAGAGACCCTCAGGAGATCAGAGGAATGAAAGGGAAAGCAGCTAGCATGTTCCCCACCCACTTGGGCCCTGGGGAGCCTGCTGAGGTCCTGGGCCTTATCCTCTGCCTTCCTAGGTCCCCTCTGGTCACGTGGGTCCTGAGGGCATGGGGGGGGACCAGTGCCCCTGAGGGGTAGCTGGGGGAGGGGAGGGGTGGAGATTTCCCAGGAGACCCCAAGGTGGGCAGCAGCCAATGAAAAGAAGTGACAGAATCCTGCAACTCTGTGAGGGTGAGTCCCTCCTGGTTCCTACACTCTTTCCCTCCTGGGTAACCCTGGTCTCCCCATCCCCTTTTGTGTGAGGAAATTGTTCCCATTCCCTCTGACCAATGGGGTCATTTAGTGGAGCTTTCAGATGCCATTTTACTCTATTTCTTTCATTCTGCATTCTTCCTTGCCTCTCTGGGAAGAATAGAGTATGTTGGCAGGGGAAATGAAAGTCATTTTAGCCATACCATGCCATAAGCTGAATCCTTGAAGTTAGAAGAGCCAGTTTTCAATTGCGAGGCATCCTCCAAAATTGGCCATCAAAACTCATTTCACCATCACAGGGCCTGCAAGACACTAAGCAGTGTACAGTACCAAGAAGAGTGTATAAAAACCTTGTCTCCATTAGTTAAACAACAGACGTTGATTACAATCTTCCTCTTTTTCGAGCTGATGTTTAAAATGTATCAACAGGATATGGCTGTTTGGTTTTTGGTGACCACCCCAGAGGTTGAGTAACTCATTACATTTAAGTTGACTCCTCATCTGTCTCTTACTGTGAAATTTAATATAGGAGATGTTGTTTGGTTAATTTTAATTTTTACGGGACAATGAGGAAATTCTAACATTTTGTCTTTGTCTTTTTGGTGCTCTCCTACAGCCTCCACAATGGCCAATACTCATCCAGGCATCCCAGAGGAAATCTGTCCTGGAGATGGATCGCCCAATTAGCTCACTGATCAGGATTGATGACCTGAAATCCACCTGGCCCTCAGGGCGTCCCATCGAGAAGTTTGGTCCAGGACTTCATAAGCAGCATCCAGGCACCAGGCAAGAGATCTGCTCAGATCTCCACCCTGGCTTGTCTGAACCCACCAAAGAAACCCCGACTGAGTCCCATCCAATTTCCCAAGAAGAGCACCCTGAGACCAGATCCGGGGGTTTTCCAGAATCTGCAGCCTCCACCCAGTACTACCAGACCTGGGCCAACCGTGGCACCCCAAGTGACCAGGAAGACACCTGCACAGGTGCAAAGCATTAACCTCCAGCCTCCACACAACACATCTTACCTGAATACTCTCCAGGCCTACACCAGAGTCCAGCCTCCAGCCATCAGACGTGTTCCAGGCCAGCCTCTCAGGATGCTCTTCAGGAGAGTAGGCAAAGCTTGGTGGAGCTGCACATACATGACATCTCCCTCTTTGTCTCCTGCTGAGAAGCCAATCCCTCCTGCTCAGAGCCCAGCCATGGGCAATAAGTCTGAGGAGCACTGTGCCCCAGGCCCCTGGAGTGTCCTCTATGGTGACCTTCAGATTTCTTCTTCCTCTGAAGAGAGTGAGTGAGAGGGAGACACCAATGACCACTAAGACATGTCCTTCAGCCCCAGGTACCCTGGAGGTGTCTGTGGAACAGAGGAGGGGAAGTCCCAAGGAGTGGCCTGTCCCTGGTGAATCAGTGATTCTTCACCTCTGGGGGGTGGGGGGGTGAAACAGTAGTGGAAACCCAGGTTTTGCTTAGGGACACACATGTGAAAAGCACTGCATCTTCTTCTGATGGAATTAGTCTCAACATGGACATTGTGCTTATCAAACTGGAATGTCAATTCTTTTGCAAACTCAATCCTTTGTAGACAACTTTGAGACAATTCCATGAGAAAGTTTTAACTGTGGTGTAAATAGCTGTGGTGAGAATCTGGAATTGGTGGCAAATGTCTGAAAGTATTGCACCTGACTAAAGGGCCTAACTCTGCTTTACAGAATGACAGCAGGGCCCTGAGTTAAGATGAGATTTGTGGATTCTGCAGACTTCTTTCCATGTAAATCATACAGGGGACTGCTCCTGTGGCTTTGTTAATTATTATTATTTCCTTAGTAAACATTATTCTAAAGCTTTGTTTAAAACTTTTCTTTCAATACCAATAAAATTCTAGGCAAAACAAGTCATGACATACATGGTTTTTATTTTTCAGCCTTGAAGATCCCCTTGACATTTTTTATCCTCAAAGCTTATGGAACTGGGAGGACAGAGGAGCTTGGAAGGACTAAGGCTATTCAGAAATATAGACTCTCAGGCACCCCTGCCCCCAAGACCACTCACTGGTCAGTATATGCACATACACAGTGTGCCCTTGTCAATGTCAGGCATGGAGAATGTGATAAGCACTGTAAGCTGACTTGTTCTCACTGAGGCCCACATGCCACTCTGAGGGTGAATTTTAATAGCTACATATGCCTCAATCTTACTTCAAAGGATCCCATGTTTTGGTTGTCTGTTTTGAGGCCTGGGTATTGGGATTTCACCTGCTCTCCAGATGAGTGGATTAGGCGGCAATGTTTGAGACCCACTGGAGGTGGTGTGCCAGGATATCCCCTAAGTCCCATGTCATCTTCTTTTTCTAACATAGGACACAGTTTGACTAGGACCAAGGAAAACTATGTAGCTTTATAGAGGGAACTTCCTGGGAGGAGCCAATGGCTGCTCCCTCCATCCTAGAGAACACCTGTTTGGGGAGTACGTCTTCCTTCTGCAGAACTCTGTACCTCCAGGACAGAAAAGCCACTGTGGTTGGAGGAAACCAAAAGGTCTTTTAAATATGTAGGAAATAGGCTCCCCTTTGGGCTACACCCAGAGCCTGCTACAACTGTGCATATGAACGTATTGCCAGTGACCTACATCACAGTTTATGCCTTTTCCTCCCTTGTCTTCTGACCAAATCCGGCCTTTCACTGAATGATAGACTCTGACAAAACCCAAATAGCGGAGAGAGGCAGGAAGACAGCGGAAGAGTAAAATGTGGAGATCTGCTTCCTCCCCACAGATACACCAGAAATATATATACACGTGGAAAAACTCCTACAGAACACCTACTGAACGCTGGCAGAAGACCTCAGACCTCCCAAAAGGCAAGAAACTCCCCACATACCTGGGTAGGGCAAAAGAAAAAATAAACAGAGACATAAGAATAGGGATGGGATCTGCACCAGTGGGAGGGAGCTGTGAAGGAGGAAAGGTTTCCACAGACTAGGAAGCCCCTTCACGGGCGGAAACTGCGGGTGGCGGAGGGGGGGAAGCTTCGGTGCTGCGGAGGAGAGCACAGCAACGGGTGCGGAGGGCAACGCGGAGGGATTCCTGCACAGAGGATCAGTGCCGACCGGCACTCACCAGGCTGAGAGGCTTGTCTGCTTACCCACCAGGGTGGGCGGGGCTGGGAGCTGAGGCTCAGGCTTCGGTCGGAGCACAGGGAGAGGACTGGGGTTGGCGGTGTGAACACAGCCTACAGGGGGTTAGTGCACCACGGCTAGCCGGGAGGGAGTCCGGGGAAAAGTCTGGACCTGCCGAAGAGGCAAGAGACTTTTTCTTCCCTCTTTGTTTCCAGGTGCGTGAGGAGAGGGGATTAAGAGCGCTGTTAAAAGGAGCTCCAGAGATAGGCGCGACCCGCGACTAGCAGTGCGGACCCCAGAGACGGGCATGAGACACTAAGGCTGCTGCTGCCGCCACAAAAAAGCCTGTGTGCAAGCACAGGTCACTATCCACACCTCCCCTCCCCAGAGCCTGTACAGCCCGCCACTGCCAGGGTCCCGGGATCCAGGGACAACTTCACCTGGAGAACGCATGGCGCACCTCAGGCTGGTGCAACGTCCCGCCGACCTCTGCCGCCGCAGGCTCATCCCACAACCGCACCCCTCCCTCCCCCCAGCCTGAGTGAGCCAGAGCCCCCAAGCAGCTGCTCCTTTAACCCCATCCTGTCTGAGCAAAGAACAGACGCCCTCCAGCGACCTACACAAAGAGGCAGGGCCAAATCCAAAGCTGAGCCCCGGGAGCTGTGCGAACAAAGAAGAGAAAGGGAAATCTCTCCCAGAAGACTCAGGAGCAGCGGATTAAAGCTCCCCAATCAACTTGATGTACCCTGCATCTGTGTAATACATGAATAGGCAACGAATCATTCCAAATTGAGGAGGTGGACTTTGAGAGCATGATATATTATTTTTTCCCCTTTTCCTCTTTTTGTGAGTGTATATGTATATGCTTCTGTGTGAGATTCTGTCTGTATAGCTTTGCTTTCCCCATTTCTCCTAGGGTTCTATCCGTCTGTCTTTTTTTTTTTTCTTGAAAAAATTTTTTTCTTAATAATTATTTTTTATTTTAATAACTTTATTTTACCTTCCTTCCTCCCTTCCTTCCTCCCTTCCTTCCTTTCTCTTTCTTTCTTTCTACTTTTTCTCCCTTTTATTCTGAGCCATGTGGATGAAAGACTCTTGGTGATGCAGCCAGGAGTCAGTGCTGTGCCTCTGAGGTGGGAGAGCCAACTTCAGGACACTGGTCCACAAGAGACCTCCCAGCTCCACATAATTTCAAATGGCGAAAATCTCCCACAACACCAGCACCCAGCTTCAGTCAACTACCAGCAAGCTACAGTGCTGGACACCCTATGCCAAACAACTAGCAACACAGGAACACAACCCCACCCATTAGCAGAGAAGCTGCCTAAAATCATAATAAGGCCATAGACAACACAAAACACACCACCAGACGTGGACCTGCTCACCAGAGAGACAAGATCCAACCTCATCCACCAGAACACAGGCACTAGTCCCCTCCACCAGGAAGTCTACACAACCCACTGAAGAAACTTTACCCACTGGGGACAGACACCAAAAACAACAGGAACTACGAACCTGCAGCCTGCAAAAAGGAGACCCCAAACACAGTAAGATAAGC